TCCATTCCAGCAAACTGCACCGATTAAATAGTAATGAAGCCATTTTAAAAGGTTTTTGGAATGAGCACGGCATAAATAAAACAGGAAATTAATTCATTTTCCCATTTTTTATTGATCAAAGACGCGTCAGCTGCCAGTCGGGGCGTCTGATCCGCAGGCCTCAGCAGCGTGGCCCCGGGCGGTCGGTGTCACTCCAGAGGGACGGCATGTGATTTGTCATCGTGAGGGGCAGCTTTAGTGTCCCGTGTTGGGACATTTCAGGAACACTCCGCGATGCCCGTGGAAAGTCGAATACAGAGCCCCGCCCCCCCGCCCCCGCCTGTCTCAGAAAGATGCAGGGATTTTGAAAGGAAATCTGTTGTGTTGATGAGGTTGACACACCCCATCTCCCGCGGGGGCTGTGCCGTCCCGGCTCTCTCCCGCCGTGGGGGGCGTGGGAGACAGTGCCGTGTATCTCCTCCTGGTCCCTCCATCTTGACTGTGAGCCCAGAGCCTCAGACACACCACCCCCTGGAGGCCTTTGGCCTCCTCCCTCCCTCTCCTCCAACCTCTGGGCTGCAGCTTTGAGCAGTGAGAGGCCAGCAGAGGTGTGGACCAAGGGCCCGGGTCCGTCTGGGGTGTGGGTGCTCCCCAGCTCCAGGAGGGAGGTTGGCCCTGAGTGCAGATCACAGGGCCCCGGGTCGTGGGGGCCAGTCGTCTGCCTCCACTCTCCCCGGGCGTGGCGTCACAGGGGCTCTGGGATCAGGGACTTCAGGATGTCCCGAGGGAGGTGGCCCCAGTGTCAGCTGGTCCCGGAAGTCAGAGGGCAGTATTTTCTCTCCCCGTTTTACAGATGGAGGAACAGGCACGGAGAGGACAGGTTGAGCTGGAACGGCCTGGCCGGGGCTGTCCCCACCAGAAGTGCCAGCTGCGGGTCAGGAGCTGGGCCGCCGTGTCCTGCCCCTGGTGGAGGGCTGGAACATGGGGAGTTCCAGTTCTCCGGTCAGGGTCAACTTACAGGGGCCAAGGGAAGGTCAGGGGTCTCTGGGGAGCCCAACCTGGGGCTTTCCTGGTGGAGCCCCACGTCGGCTGAGCATCACCGTGGGGGGCAGCAGGGCCCCTGGCCTCCCGACCCAGCGGGCGAGGCGGTCATGGGGCTTCCCCTGACACAGGCCCTGCAGGAGGAGGTCAGGGGGCACCCGGAGGGGTGCTCTGCGAGCCTCACTTTGTCTGTCTGTGGAATGGGGTAATCACGTCCCACACCTTCCAGGGCCCCTGCAGGCGTCCAGTGGGTTTGTGCAGGGGGGCACGTCCGCTGCCCGAGTGCCGTGAGCTCCCTCCACAGAAACCCTGTTCAGACCGCACATCCCCGGCCGCAGCCTGCTGAGCAAGAAGCTTTGCGTCTCTGGGCCTCAGTTTCCCCCCGTGCACCTGCCTCTCAGTGCTGAAGTACACGGGCAGCCCCTGAGGGACGTGGGGACGAGACAGAGTCCCCGGCACTGGGCGTGCGTGGTGGACCTTGGGTGGATGTGAGTTCTGGGGGCAGGGTGTCCGATTTGCGATTCTAGCTCGCCTTCGAGGGGTCACAGGAGAGGCCACGGAGGTCTGAAGGCAGCCCCGTCCGGTGTCTCCTCCGAGTGTGGCAGGCGGTGGCTCCCCGATCAGCAGGTTGGTTTCAAAGCCACCAAAGAGAAGTGGCCATCGTGGGTCACACCGGGGGGCGCGCGGAGGCCTCGAGGCTCAGATGCGGGGTCTTGGCTCTCACGGTCGACTCTGCCTCTCGTGCCCGGGATCCCCTCGCTGGGGCAGGCCTTCCGGGGGCTGAATGACAGCTGACAGTGGGCAGCAGGCCCTGCGAGGCTGGCGAAGGCCGGCTGGGCACGGAACCTGGGCGTTCCGGCTAATCTGATCTCAGCCTGACGAGTAGGCGGGACGCAGGGGTCGGGAGTCCGCTGCGCAGGCGGCCCGCCTCTTGGCACGGTGGCCAGGGCCCTCCCCGTGGGCCGGGGTTGGGGGAGCAGCGGGCAGGGCAGTGCCCTAAGCAAACACAGCGGGGGCCTACTCGGCTCTGGGCCGCCTGTCACTTGTCACAGGGCCAGTTGTCCTGGGACAGACCCTTATTGTGGCCGCTAAGCAGGACTTCTGGGACCGTGCGCTCGCCTCCAGATGCCAGGGAAGCTGTGTCTGGCCGTCCTTCGTCCAGGGCCTGGAGGGCCAAGCAAAGAGAAGAAGGCCACTCGCCCCTGAGGCCACAGGGACACGGCCAGCAGCCGGCCCTTCTAGGGCCTCAGGACAAGGATGGGCAGCTTCCAGCCTGGCACTGGCCGCTGTCTGGGCCCTCCCTCACCTGCCATCGCTCAGCCTGTGGCTGGGATGTACCGAGACATTCCCTCCCCGTCTTGCCCTCGGGAGCCTCTTTCCCAGAGTCTGAAGCTATCTGAGCGAGGGACCGTGAGTTTCTGGCTGTCCAGGCCTCGGCCGCCGCCCCTCCTGGGCCCAGGGCGCTGGGGAAGGAGAGGCCGGCCATCGGGCGATTGGACTGGAGCTGCAGAAACAGCAGCTGCCCCCGCTTGGTGGGAAGAGGGAGGAGCCACGAGTCCGGGCACGGGGCCGACCCGCCCTTGCCGCCCCTGTCCGTGGCCGATGAGGGGGGTGGAGTGACTGTGCCCCACTTGCTAAGCGTGCTGGCCAAGAGGAAACACAGGGACTCACGGACACCCGTCCTCTGGAAGGACGTCCCTATCCCGGAGCAGATGTGGGTTCCAGTCTTGGCTTGGGAGCCTCAGTTTCCTCTCCTGAGAAATGGGTGACTGACTGGAGGGTGGGGAGTGAGGGCATCATGGCAGAGCCGCAGAGGCGAGCGGACGTAAGGGGAGGTCTCCGTGAAGGAGGCCCCCTCCTCCCGGTTCTGCCGTGTCCGTCTCTCTGGGGTCAGAACCTGTCTGTGTGCCTCAGTTTTCCCAGGGCCGGCCTTTTGTGGGCCCTGAGTGGCACAGGGCTCGCCGTGGAAGGCTGGGGCCCACGCGGCTGCGGTTGGGGAGGGGCCAGGCGGGCAGACGCTGTGCCCACAGGGCAAGGGGCGCCCGCCCGTCCTGAGCCCCGAAAGGAAGCCTGGCCTCGCCGGCTGCGATTATGGCGAGGAGCTGTGTAATTAACTCTAAAAATGGGAGGCTGAGGAAATAAAGTGGACGCTTCGGGGAGATTGGCGTCAGGCGATGCTCAGACAGCAGCGGAGCCGGCCGAGGCCGCAGGGTGGGCGGGAGGGTCTGAGACCAGAGGGGACGAGCGGGTGCCAGCTGGGGCGGCGTGTTGGCGGCCACAAACCGGGGGGCTTAGGGCAGTGAAAGTGTATTTTCCCGGCCGAGCCGTGGGCCTGGCTCTCTCTCGGGGCCCCTCCCAGCTTCCGCAGTTTTGCTGGCCGTCGCCGTAAAATACAGGATGTACAAGATTTACCATTTTAACCATTGATATTTTATTTATTCATTTATTTGTTATTATTTTTTTTTAAGGGAGAGAGCGTGCAAGTGGGGGAGGGGCAGAGAGAGAGAGAGAGAGAGAGAGAGAGCGCATGCGAGGGAGAGAGGCTCCCAAGCAGGCTCCATGCTGACGTGGGGCTTGATCCCACAACCCTGGGATCATGACCTGAGCCGAAATCAAGAGTAGGACACTCAACCGACTCAGCCCCCCAGGTGTCCCCATTTTAACCATGTTTTAAATGTTTATTTTTGAGAGAGAGAGAGAGAGAGAGCAGGGGAGGGGCAGAGAGAGAGGGAGACACAGAATCCGAGGCAGGCTCCAGGCTCCGAGCCGTCAGCACAGAGCCCGACGCGGAGCTCAAACTCACGAACCGCGAGATCATGACCTGAGCCGAAGTCGGACGCCCAACCGACTGAGCCCCCCCAGGCGCCCCCGTTTTAACCGTCACGGTGTCACGGTGTCACCTGACAAGCACCTCTGTCATTTCCAGAACTCGTTCATCACCCCAAGCTACATCCGTCCCCGTGAGACACTGACTCCCTGTCCGCCCCGGCCGGCACCACCGCTCTTTCTGTGACTCCCTGTTCTGGGTGCCTCGTGTAAGTGGACTCCTAGCGTCCCTCCGTCCGAGTCTCGATGCTTCAGGAATGGCAGACAGGGCTGTCCACCCCAACAGCTATGGCTGTGCAACTTAGATTGATTAGAAAAAAATTAAAAATGTCGTTTCTCGGTCAGATTAACCTCATTTCAAGAGCTCAGGGGGCACATGTGTCTAGTGGGCTGCCCTACTGGACAACACATACCTCGAACGTATCCATCCTTCCAGAAGGTTCTGTGGGGGCGTACTCTTGTAGGCTCATGGGGATGAAAGAGACGTGACCAGTAGCATCGGGTCTGAGCCGGGATCGGGCCTCGGGCCAGAATGTGTTTTGCTGTTGGACGCATCTTGGTTGTCCTTTGTCTACCGAAGAAATGGGAGTCCGTGCCGTCTGCAGACCAGGGCGTGTGGGGTCCACGACGGTTCACGGACGTGGACGCTGGTGCTGAGCTCGGGGAAGGGGGTCTCCTTGTCCTTAGGGGCACTCACATGTTCGGGGGTCCCGGGGTCATGTCTGCGGTTTGCTCTCGCACATTCGGAAACCACCGTACCCCCACACAGCCGGTGTGTCAGCATCGGCCGTGACCGGCGACCCACCCTGGCCAGGACAGGAGGCGCGGCCCAGGGTGGAGGGCCCCCCGGGGTGGGTGCTAGGCCGGGGCGCCGCGTGCCTCGAGGGCATTCTCTGAGCAGCTGGTTCCCCAGGTCGACCGTACCTTCTGATTCTGGTCTGTCCTTCCTTCCATCTGTCCCCGCGTCTGCGTTTCCGGGGGGCTGGTGCTGGCCGTGTGGTTCTTGCCGTGGAGCCCCCGGGCCCTTAGTGAATGGCTACTGGTGGGGACGACCGGTCTGAAGTCCCCGGGCCCCTTCAGCCCACATGTCGCTGTCCTTGCTTCTGACGCGCCCTTGCTGACTGGACTGGGTGGACCGACGGTCCTCGCACGGCATGGCTCACTCTGTGCCATCACGGTGCGCGGCCCAGCCAGGCACGTCCTGTTCGGAAACCGGGCCACGGGAGCCGAAGCCGCTGTCCCTGGTCCTGTGAGTTGGAATCAGTGGACAGGACTCGAACCTGGGGCCAGAACAACTCCAGATGGTGCTCTCCAGGAGGCCCGGCCCACAGCCCCCGTGTGTCCTTCACCAGCAGCTTCTCCACAGGGACTGCAGCCGGCCATCCCGTTCACCCCCAGCCCCAAACCTCCAGCCCCCGTCACTTTGCCAGGCCCGGTGTCGCCGGGTCACCGGGTGGAGGAGGTGCCCCAGTGCTGATTGGGAACCCTGGCCCTGTGCGCCCCCAGCCTCCCACCGCGGCTGGCGTGTCCACTCCCGGGGTCCGCCACGGACGGCTTCCACGGACCGTTCTGGCCTTTGGTTTCATCACATCTACGATAATTGGGGCGGGCCTGCGCCAGGGAAGACAGGTGCGTGTGCATGTGCGTGCACGCGTGTTTGTATGTGAGGGGCGCACGTGTGCAGGTGCCCGTGTGTTCACGCGCTGGTTTTGCTGATTCGAGACCACATTTGCAGTCGCGATCGTCAGTGCTGGGTCCCCCTGGGCAGGGGGGCGGGACAAAGGGTCAGGAGTGGCCGGGGTGAGCCGGGGGCGCCTGTGACGTCTGGCCCAGCGGGGCAGCGGTGGTGAGGCCTCCCCCCCCCCCCCCCCCCCCCCCGCCCCGGGCAGGGATGCGCGTCCGGGCCGGCACCCGCCGCTGCCTTTACACTCTTCTCACAGACCCTGGGGGCTCAGTGCTCTTGTCTTCTCTCCTCTAGTTCCTGTGTTTAAAGAACATCCGCACCTTCCTGAAAGTCTGCCACGATAAATTTGGACTACGAAACAGCGAGCTGTTTGACCCCTTTGACCTCTTCGATGTCCGAGACTTTGGGAAGGTGAGTGTCCGGGCACGGTGGCCGAGCGCCGGCTCTGTGTGGGGCGGCGGGGCGACGGGACAGGCCTGCCTCCTCCGGGTCTCGCCGCACCCAGAGTGAGGTCAGGTGTCCGAAATCCGGGAGGGCAGAGGAAAGGCAGGGTGTGGACGAGGACACAGCCGGGGGCTGAGCCCTGGCCCTGCCTCCCTAGCCGGGGCACCTGACGTATACTTGCTCCCCCGAATCTCCACTCTTCACGGGAAGTCGGGCAGGTGTTACTACCAGCCCGCCCGGGGGTCGCGTGAGATGCTGCAGGGGCACGTTTACTCGTGGAAAGATCTGTGGCGGTTACGCTCAATGCCAGCAGAGCAGCCTGGCTCTAAGCATGTGTTGGGCGAGGAGGGGGTGATGACCCGAACCCCCAGGGTTCCTGGAGGTGATCCTCGAGGCCTGGGCCAAACAGCTCAGAAGTCTCCCCGTGTTCTCAGAAGTGCCCTTTGTCAGCTGTCCCGCAGAAGCCCTGTTGGTGCGGGTGAGAAGGTACCTGGGGCTGGGCAGGTATGAAGGCCGGAGGCTGGCGGGGGGTTTCAGCTCGTTTGTGAGCTGGCTCCCTGGTGAGCCTGCCTTCATAGTGGCCAGAGACGTCACCCGCCATCTGAAAGCACATCCTTTTAAATGGCTGGAGTCGGGACCATGATCCCGTTTGCTGGATGGAGGCCGAGGGCTTGAGGGAAGGCCTTGTTCTGTGCTGCCTGGAGTTGGGTGGCCCCCCCCGGCCCCGTGGGCTCTCAGAGGACGGCACCGGGGAGCTCTGCCCTCGGCTGCGCTGGCACGGGCTCTGTGAGACAGTCGCTTCCCGGACTGCCCAGGGAGCCACTTTCCACCTGCTGATGGGAAGTATCGGGAGATGTTTATTGCTTAATCTATCTGAGGACTATTATCGGGGACTTGGTGTTTGAGGAAACGTTCTATGAATACATGATTTACGAAATGCAGGGAGAATTTTGTATTTACAGTTACGAGCGCTGAGAAGTCCGTTCGAAGAGGAACCCTTCCTTGAGACGCGATGAAGTGTCAGATTACTGTCAGTAGCTAGGATTTTCCCATAAGCCACCTGGCCCGATGGTGTTCCCCCCGCCCTTCCCTGGTTCTGAAATTCTCTAAGAAAGAGATTCAGGGACCGGCTCAAGAACCCGTGTCTGTGTGATCAGCACCTCATAGAGGTTTCCGTTTCCCCTTGAACAGCTCACTCAATTCCCTGTGCCCCGGGCCGCGTGTGCCCGAGCGGCAACCGAGGCTGGGGTGGGGCCAGGCAGGTTTCCTCTCCTAGAAGTGGGCTTCCCAGTCCACGGGGCTGCTTTCCAGTGGATTGGATCTCCTCTACCGTTCTCCTTTCTCCTGGGGAGCGGCAGTGCCCTGGGCTCTGGAAAGGGGCCTCCCGGACATACACCCACACTCTTCACCTGTGTGCACACTCACGCAGAGACACTGCTTTGCACTCACATGCTTTCATATGCACTCGTGCATACACACTCGGGATCACACACACACACACACACACACTGAAGCACACAACCGGTCTTTAAAATAACCATATGGAGAAAAAGACGGGATAAACCTCGGCCAAGTTCATTGCTTGGCGAATAGTTAAAATGCAAATGACCCAGGCTGCAATTCCGTTTTGCTTTTGATTTGCCACAGCTGAATGCAGTGATGTAAGGTGCACGTAAATTCGGATCAAACTCTCATCCTGCGACTCGCCAGCCGTGTGGCCACGCGGTTTGCCAGGGGGGCGCCCCTCGCGCTCATCGGCGGTTCCAGGGAGGCGGCTTGGCTCCAAGGTGGACGTGCCAGGTCCACCCAGAGGGGCCGCGAGGACGCCGCTTCCGAGCTGGCCTCCGGTCCGCCCACGTGCGCTGTGACAGTCACTGGCGATGCTTCGCCACACCGTGGCATCTGCTGTGGGGAGCCAGGCGTGGTGTGGAGGTGGTGTGATGGCCCAGACCCGGGCGCTGAGCTGTGTGCAGGGGGCGGGGGGGGGGGGC